AAAAAAAAAAAAAAAAAAAAAAGACAATGAGTTTAAAGAGCAAGGCACAGTTTGGACATAGTTTTGTAAAGTGAAATCTGTAAGATTAGGAGTGATTGTGTAGGGAGAGGCAGAAGAAAATTCCTAGGATGATTCCCAGGTTTCTGATTTGAGCAGCTAATTGGGTGGGTCATAAACTAGGTAGATTCAGGAGTATAGGAGAAAAAACACAGATGTCCGCTGGGGTGGAGTTGGGTAGCATGGGACTCCAACTTAGCAGTGAGCTCTGTGGAAAGAACTTGTAGTGTTCAGCATATAGGAGATAATGGAAGCTATGGCTACTTCTTAGATCACTGAGAGAGTGTGGAGAGAGAAGACACGAGGATCCCAGGATGGAGTCTTAGGGAAAGACAACAGTTAAAGGGTAGGTGAAGGAGGCAGCAGGGGCCTTTTATGCTCTGTGACACTGAAGGGTATCACCATTTGAATTAACCATGGTTTTCTCTTTCAGGAATGGTAGTGCTGTTGGCCTTCCAGTCCCACCTATCACAGCCTTAATTACTCCAGGTCCCGTTCGTCATTGCCAGATTCCCGATTTGCCTGTGGATGGGAGCCTGCTCTTCGAATTTCTGTTTTTCATCTACCTATTGGTTGCTCTGTTCATCCAGTACATTAACATCTATAAAACAGTGTGGTGGTATCCTTACAATCACCCTGCTTCTTGTACTTCTCTGGTAAGTCTTACTAGGCCTTTAAGTTCTTCAAGCCAGGGAAGAATCTAGCTGGAAAGTCTTTAAGTAGAAATTATTTTTCTTAACAGTTTTTCTTCTAATAAAATGTTTTTCTGCTAGACCACAGATTACTTTCAGAAATAAAGTTTCATGATAAGATTGTTAAGGTATAAAGTCTACCAGAGAAAGTAAAAATAGAAATGAAAAATTTGGAAAATAATTTATTATAATATCAGAAAGCTTTTGATATTTAGCCATGTTAAGTTTGTTGTAAATATATGTGTCAGTATGATTAAATTCTAGTAACTCTACCCTTTTAGTGGCTTGATTAGGATGATGGTACCTTCTATAACAAATAAACCCCAGATTATATAATTCTTTCAACACCCAGTAGTCTGCGGCAGTTGTTCTTGTGGGCAGGTGTTCTTCCATGTGGTCATTCAAGCTAATGGAGACTCTGTTGTCTTCCAACAGTGTCCAGTCCTGTTTGCCAGAAAGAGGGAATAGTTTAGGAAAATATAAGGAAGAGTTTCTTTTGGGCCAGCCTCATATCATTTCTACATATGTCCATGCCTAACTGCAAGGATGTCTAGAAAATATTGTTCTTTAGCTGGGTACATTGTTCACCTGAATAAAATTGGGTTTTATCTAAAAAAAAGAAATTGAGACAGGAAATAGCTATCTTTGTTGAAGTACATAAAAATATATTGTAGGTTTTTTCTACCTTTTCATTTTATTTTATTACTATTATTTTTTTGCAGTTTTTGCAGGGGCTGGGTTTGAACCCACCACCTCCAGCATATGGGGCCAGCGCCCTACCGCTTTGAGCCACAGGCGCCGCCCTACCTTTTCGCTTTAGACAGCTGTGATGATCTTGATGCAGAGAGGGCTCACCATAGATGGATATATCCAATATCTGTAAGGCTAGTCAGATGATTTGACAGCAGTATGGTCCAGGGGGAAAAAGACTATTGTCATGGGTAGTTTATATGTGTGTATATGTACTTGAGGCTAATAAAAGATTAGAAAACCTCTCTGGCCTGGTAAGCATACAAAGGAAGCATGAAGTTTGTTTAAAACTTCTATAACTTGATTGTTCCCGAAATTAACTATTAAGAATTTTCTTCCTGTATCAACCATCCATCTAGTTAATATCATGTGATGAGAGTGTCAATTTCTGTATTTAAGAATTGAAACAATTTAATGCCAAATTGTATGGCTTTTTTTTTTTTTTTTTTTTTTTT